CTCCAGCATCCTGGCTGAGTGGAAGAGCCTCTCCGGCTTCAATTGAGCAGAATGAAAGTCCTTCTTCAGCAAGTGACATGATCAGAAATGCGCTCAATTAGAGCAACAGGTTAGTTTTTGTCAGGACTTACACTTGCAAGTCTCGAATGAGTCTTGTTGATCCTCCCGCCCAACGGCAGCGGTGGAGCGGAAAAGAAACTAACTATCGGTTGGCTCCAGTCGTTTCTATCTCTCTTGACTTGACTTGAGCGCTGGTAGACTCATTTTGAATGTTCCCGTGCCAGATTTCCGGGTTTCCTGTTCCAACCTTTTGCAATATACACAGGGACTTGTTTCTTCCCAGATCTTCCCAGTCTTTAGTTCAAACACATTGAAACTCAACGTTTGGTTTGGACAGTCTGAGACTCGTGCATCAACAGTTTTTGTCGTTGTTATCTTTTTTGCATGATCAACAGCGAGGTCTAGATGTAGTTCATGCATCCTTGGGATAAACCTGCGAATGTCTCAAGACCCTGTTTTAAGTAAACAATTGGAGGAACAACTGGAAAACAGTAGTATCGAATTGGGGCACCTACCATACAGCCTGGCTTGCTTTGCTAGCATTACTTTACGGCCGGCAAAGAAAGAGGATGCACGCTTTCTCCTCAAGGCTGAGTGCTGAGCAGCCCCAATATCTTGTGGAATCGCCGCTGATTTGCCATGGCTCGTGCCTCTGCGCTCTCCAAGGCTCTTTTGGCCGCCGGAGCCATCGTGGCCCTGCGCCTTTTGTCCGGTGAGACCTTTGTGACGCCGAAGCAGCGCAACGAAGCAGCAGCTGCAATGGCAGCTGCCATGGTGGCAGTATCTGCACCAGCCATGGCTGAGGCAAGGCTTTTTGGTGGTTCTCATTGCTTGTTTGGTGCCTCAAGTTAAACATGTCAACCATAGCAGCCTCTTGAATGACGTCCATGTTTGTGACTGTATGTGCAGGTCCCAACCTTCTCCGTCTTTGGGTTTGGCAGCGGCCAGTCCGACGCTTGAAAAATACATTTAGGAAGCTGCGACTCTGTTTTGGAGTTCATTGTGCTGGGTGGATCATTTATGTACTATAGTCGGTCAATTTTGCTAACTACACAGGGCAACACGAGTCACTTGCGTGTTGAGTGATTCCATTGATGTGTGGCCACTTAAGGATGCCTACAGCCAGAACGACAACCCGATCAATCCGTACTCCCAGTTCAGCGATGGCAGCGACACAGTCTACCAGGCCAAGAACCAGCCTGAGATGGAGAGGAGGACCAAGTCATTGAAGGCAGGGCTGAAGCGTTTCGAGGACACTCCAGGGTACATCCAGACCAAGCAGGCCCAGGCACTCAAGTCCAACCTCCAGGAATCCAATTCCTTGAGGCAGGACCTCCTGTACTTCTCTGGCGCGGAGGGTAGCCCAGCTTGGGAGAAAGC